GATGGTGCCCTTTCATATATACTATATATGTATGCAAGTAAAAAATTTTGACTACCATTTTTTTTTTTAGCTCTTTCTATCCCTTTTTTTAAAAGGAATTTGGATACCAAAAATTCGCGGCAACACTGCTGCACATCGTTTATGTTGCCTTATGTTCCATTTTTTATTGACCAAGTTTATAGCTTACGAAAGTGAATAAGAATTAATTTGTAACTTATTTCTTTTTTTCTTTACGCCTCATTTGCTTCATTTTTGCTGAATAATTTTCTCTGCCCTGTCCGCGTCCCTTCGCCGCACACACACACACTTTCGTTAGCTTCCGTGATTGCTAAATTTACCGCGTTTCCACGTACTCTTCACTTCGATCCCCTTCTCTATTCTTTGCTTTTGTATAGTGTCTAATGAAGTGGGTCCTAAAGTGGCTTTGTGGCAGAGAACTTGTTTTTTTTTTTAATTTTTTTCTCTATAAACTAAACGAAAGCGACACCGCTGACATACATTTCTACCAGCAATTTGGTCTTTTGATGGCTTTAATGAGTGCGTTTATTGTTAAGTATGTACGTATAGGTTTGTGTATGTACGTATGTAAATGTGCACGAAATGAGGTAAGCGTCACAATATAAATATGTAAATATTTAAAAAAAAAATAATGTGGTCATTGTAGTAACTGCTCCGAATTTCAAAGCTAAACGGTGTAATAATCTACAGTTTAAGAGTGATCTACAGCTACATAACCAAAAAATATGTAAGCGACATCTTTTTTTGAAAATTTTTTTTTTAATCTATAATTGTTCCTTGAGCATCTAGATGCATTTCTGTATCAAAAATAAAAATTTGAAAAATATGTTGTAGGTATTACATAGATAAATTTTTTGTAAATTTTTTCTTTTTAAATTAAATTCTGTCAAAAAAAAGTAAAAATTTGATTCACCCTTTGACTATGTAGCGAGCAGTTCAAATTCTATAGCATACATTCAGGCGTGCTTCTATGAAAGCGGAAACGATGTGAAATATTAATGGCGATCGCAAGCAAAATTAAAATTTACATGCAGGTTAACTCACAAAATTTCTTTATCACTAGAGACGAAACTACGATGATAACTATATCCACACCAGTCCAAAAGCTGCGAAATTTGGCACTTTACAAAACTATTTTATTTTACTTTTTAAAACTTTATATCGCTAGCTTAGATCAAAAAGTTGCTAAGTCAACTCTTAAAAATATATATATATATATATATATATATATATATCGTTTTCTAAAGGATCGAACTAACTATTTTATTTCTAACCGCTTTTATACAGGATACGCGATTTTGCTAAGTCTAAAATGGTTACAGAGAACATTCGCTTTGAAAAGCCTGCTGTGAAATCTGGTAAATCTAAATCTAAAATCTGAGGAAACGAATTTAGAACCGGTTCGGAACTATAGAAAAAGGAATGCAGAGCGAATTACATAAGTACAATTATCTCATCTGTCGAATTTAAAACTGGCTCCGATTTATCGAAGGAGTCCAGCGGTGGCAATTGACGCTTTGAAGAACAAACTGTTGATGTATTTCTTTAAATACAAGAATTATGTTCGAGATGGATTAACTGCGCTTATTAGACTTAACACTTCTCTACCAATGCCCTATCGCCGCTTTATTCTGACTGTTTGAATTTATGATCCAGTCACATGCATACATACATATGCATGTATGTACATTAGGGTGATCAAAACTGTTTTCCACAAACCCCGTTAGAACTGAAGAATATCGAAAATAAGTAAATTCGTATTTCTTTTTATTTCGCTATTAAGAGTGTCCAATCCGTAAATTTTTCAGTTTTTTTGGCTAATAGTATGTATATTCAAAATGAGCTCAAGCTCAAAAAATTCCTATTACAGTTTAAAACATGTTTAATATATTTTTTTAAACTTTGAAATCCGCGACATTTCCAATACATTTTGTATTTTTGAACACAAAATAACACATTTTTGTATATAAGAGATATAGGAGATAAAATTATCTGTTATGAAAAGTAGTAAGTCAAGTTTTAAATTTAAATATGCAACATAACTGTTTTTTTTTTTTTTTGAAGATTGCTGAAGAGAAATGATATTTCTCCTAAAAATGTTTATTGATATCGATTTTAAGTATAACAGTTCCGTGAAATTTTTTTTTCCTGTTAAATGCATGGTAAACTTTGAAGTCCCAGCGACACCATTAAATAGTAACACCAGGGTTTTTATTTCGTAAACATAACTAGTAATAACACCCGAAATTCGGGTGAATACTTTCAAATATTAAGTAAAAATAAAACTTGATATTCTTGAATATAGCTAAATATTTAGTCCAATTTGAAGTCCAAAATGAACATTTAATATTGCATTGCCAGAGATCTGAGAACCCGACTTAATTTTTAGGTTATTGAAGGACCTTACTCTACTCATAGCCACGTACAGTGGACCGTGAGTAAAACAGTAATCTTTAAGGTATAGTCCAACCTTCCACAACCTCCGTCCAAGGGCTTTATTAATCATATTCGCAAACATAATTATCACTGAAAATTGGTGCCATTCTTAGTTTTACAGTTATGTTAGTTAGTTTTACAGTTATGTAGAGATCATTATATTAGAAAATGGTAACCTAGGTATTTAAAAAAGAAAGTGGTCTCAACTATTTTCATTTTTTCTTTCAAAACTATGAATAATACCTCTACTTTTTTTAAATCTCAATTCTACTGAAAATTGGTAATATTTTTCATTAGATCACACTGCTCACTATCGACTGTTCTGGCAATTTTTAATAATAATAATAATAATAATAGAGTGGCGCTTACACATATGCTAGTGTTTGGCCGAGCTTCTCCTCCGATTTGTGGCGTGCGCCTTGATGTTGTGACACAAAGCGGAGAGACCTACAGTTTTGCGCGGACCCCGAACGGCGATTGTATTTTTATGAGAAGCTGGTTTTCATGACAGAAATACACTCGGAGGTTTGCCATTGCCTGCCGAGGGCGACCGCTGTTAAGAAAAAACCTTTTTCTAAATTTTTGTACCTTTCATGAGCATGAAATGGTATTATAACTTTGGTCCGATGTTTGTAAGTACCAGAACATAAAGAGATAGACCCATTAAAATGTATACTTTTATGATCAGAACGTCGAGCTGAGTTGATTTATCCATGTCCGTTTGTCCGTCTGTCTGTCTGTCCGTCTGTTTGTATGCAATCTAGTCTCTCAGTTTTCGAGATATCCGGATCAAATTTGGTAGGTGGGTGTATTTTTATAATGTATTAATCATTTGTCGGAACCGGAAGAATCGGACCACTATAACATATAGCTCCCATACAACTGATTGTTCAGATATGAGATTTTTCGTTATAACTTCTCCATTTATGCAGCTACGAACATGCAGCACTTGCACCCATTATCAACAGAATGCTTACAGTGAAAATTACAAAGATCGGGTCACTATAACCTATAGCTCCCATACAACTGATTGTTCAGATATAAAATTTTTCGTTATAACTCTTCCATTTATATAGCTGGGAACAGGAAATTCCGCACAGTTTTCAATAATTATCAACAGAAAACTTACAGTGAAAATTAAAAAGATCGGATAACTATAACCTATAGCTGCGATACAACTGATTGTTCAGATATGAGATTTTTCGTTATAATTCATCCATTTATGTAGCTAGGACCATGAAATTTCTCGCTGTTTTCACTCATTATCAGCAGAAGACTTACAGTGAAAATAACGAAGATCGGGTCACTATAACCTGCAGCCCCCATACAACTGATTGTTCAGATATGAGGTCTTGATTGTTTAGATGCGATTTTTTATATAAGTATGTAACTCCTCTATCGATGTATGCAGATGTATTCAAAATCAGTAATCTGTCAAACTAAAATTTGCAGATGTTCATGAAAGGTATGAAGCCTTCGACATAGCCGAAGACAGCGCTGCTCTTACTTCTTTTTTGTGATGTTGCTTTGACTAGGGCTTGAACCGAGGCGCTGCGGAGTGGAGCGCGCACTGCTTACCACTACACGACAATTTTTAGTTTTGTTAAAAACAAGGTGAACTGCAACCAGAAAATTTAACTTAATTAACGCTCTAAAGAATGATATAATTTCTCAATAAAATGTTTATCTTATGGTGATTTCGTTTCTACCAAAAAATTTCGCCTTTCGATTGCCCTTTTCTCTCTTCTTGTTCGATTCTAAATTAAAGGCAAAGTGTGAGAAAATTGTTTGTTCCTTCCTTAAAATGTCACACTCTTGTGAGGCAAATAAGGCACATTCTCTGCCCTTTGAAGCTTTGTCAGGGGAGATGGTTGCTTACAACGATAATATGATGAAACGTGTGATCTGGACAAGGACAAGAAGGCATAATATGCATTTTCAAAGGGTTGAGTGTAATAGCAAACACCGTGCAAGGGCAACATTTTTTGGTGGAAACGAAATCACCGTTAACAACAAAAGCTTTTATTTGCGAAAAAAGCGCTTAAAGCAATAAAAAGTTTGTCCATTAATTGGACTCTGAATCGAGTATACATAGATACGTTGAGAATACCTTAAGAGAATTAAATGCTTATATTTTTTCACCAAATTCACCGATTCAAAATCTGACAATTTGTGACTAACACCGCAGCTTAATTTAAATTCTGTAGCTGATTCAGATCGCCCTAACTTCCTCGTATGACTGAGCAAATATATACAGATTCTGGGGGCTGGCAGCAGGAGAATTCGAAAAGTTGTTTTTTCGTGCATTTTTGAACCACCCTAATGTACGTGCATATACCTCTCAACAATTTAAACTTATTTCTATTGCAATCTGCAAGATATCAATTTATTTAAGGCGTTTACCTTGTAATGTTCATCAAATTCAAAAACAAAAATACATATGTACATACTTACATATATACAAGTTAATAACGTCATTGTACTTTTAAACTTTTAACAATGAACTCAGAAAACAATCAATAACAATGCATCACACACATAATGCATAATCGAATTTGAGAAGCCGAACGATTGAAGTAAAAAATACAGAATTTTCGTGCAATAAAAATATTTTTTTCCTGTTTAATGAATGCTCATTAACATTCACACGCTGCGCGCAGCTTACTTATCACAAAGTCGAAACGAGAACCTAATCAAATACTTGCTTCGTCTCCGGAGACGCCCATAACAGATTAGCGTTGACCGGTAAAGTGTCTGGAACAGATTTTTTGCATTGTCGGAAGAATTATTTTCAGAAAACGAACTAAGCTTAATTTTATTTAAAACAATTAAATCGAATATTTATGTATTTTATATCGATTTTATATATTACCATCTTTATTTGGCTAGCAGCTGTGAGCGGACAAGGCAGCGGTAAGCATATGCAACGTGGGTTTGTGCGATATGTTCACCTCGAGGTGAAAGTGATAAAAATAAACAGAAAGTTTATTACGCTGTGCGACAAAAAAACAAAAATTTTCAAACATACACGAAAAAATCAATATATGTACTCACAAAACTACGAAATATAGTAAAACTGCGTTTTTGGTTCTTCTGCTTGACGTCAGGATTTTTCAAAAGGAATTTGTAATTTCAAAGATATGTTTAATTAAAAAAAAAAAATAATATTTCAAAAATTTAGTGCATGGTGAATAACAATATTGGTATCAAATAAAGGAGAAAACTATTGAAAACAACTAAAATTGTTGATACACAAGGCCGATTAATAATAATTATAATAATAGTGGTATTCATTTCCACGAAAAATGTTTTTTTTTTATATATAAAATACATGGAAAACTTTGAGGGCTTTGAGCGACCTCTAAATATTTTTTGATTTCAAAATAAAAAAGCCGGGGTATTATTTTTTTTTTGTATAGAACACTCCCAGTGGGTGAGAGTATTAAAATTCCGACTTTACTTTTTCGACGTGCGTTTTGGACCACTCTAGCGTACATACAAACATAGTACGCTTATATATTCAACATATGTATATTCAGGGAAGCCTTTTGCGAGATAATTTCTACTAATACACTACGTTCTCGTGAATCTCTGTTAATACTTACAGAAACCCCTATTATCAATGCGATCAGTAAACAACAAGCAGACATGTCATTCGTCATACATATGTACATAAGATCCCTACCAGACACGACTAACGCAGTCTCCAATACATTCAAACAAAAATTGCTATTTCACCAACACACTCAAAGTCACATGTCAAAATTTTGTTTTCGTTCAATTCACGCCGATTCTTTTTCACATTGTTTCTTCTATAAAGGTTTATGTGTGGAAAAGAGACCACAATATGGAAAATTCTTCAATTTTCTTATTTATTCTTTATTCCCATTTTTGACGTTTGCCGTTTTGCACGTGGAGCTAACCTAAAATTTTAATTTAAAAGATTTTCTGACGCGAGCGGTTGCATCTGATTGCAAGTTTTACAATTTTTATCAAAAATAAATAAAATTAAAGAAAAAAATCACTCCAAGGTTAAAAAAGTGATATTAAGAATGCAAAAGCGCCATTTTGCTAATTGCTTGAGCAAGGAGAAGAAAACCTTTGAGGAAAATGTAAAAAAATATAAAAGGCTCTTTGAACTTTCTCAAGCAACTGAACTTGAGGAAATTGGTGCTACGGGAAGTGGAATAGGTGATATTGCTTATATGGAAATGCATGATGCCGAATGTGTGCGTAGTGCGTCCAGTGTTAGTGGTGAAAATTTTGTGCCCGAATGTGAGGTTAGTGCGTCCAATGTTAGGGCTGAAGATTTTGTGCCCGAATGTGAATTAGGAGATCTCGTGGCTATGGTGAATAGCCAAAAAGAAAAAAGTGCAGAATTAAAAGCATGGGCATTACGAAGCAATATTTCCCAACACGCCTTAGACGATTTGCTTCAAACTTTACGACGTATACGAGTAAGCGATTTGCCGCTTTCCGCAAGGACTCTTTTGAGTACTCATAGACGGAAAGTTGAAGTAAAGTCTTGGACTTTAACGTTCATTCCAAATGGAGACTTTTTGTATATGGGTATTCAAAATCATTTTTATTCAGACTCCTTTCACTTTTTAAATAAAAAATCTGAAGTCCTAATAGATGTAGGCATCGATGGTCTTAAGCCATTTAGCAGCTCAAATCGAGTTCTATGGCCAATTCTGGGGTCGATAGAGGGTTTTAGTTAAATGCGTCCATTTTTAATAGCATCTTTCTCTGGACTTAAAAAACCAGAAAAGATCGATGACTTCATAACAGATTTTTGCGAGGAGGTAAAAATACTAAGAACAAGTGGCTTGAGAGTAGGTTCGGTTTACTTGCGATTCGCCAGCTCGATCTTTCGTCAATGGTGTTCAATATTTTAACGTAAGAAATGGTTGCCCAAAATGCAATCAAGAGGGCAAATATGTGCAGAGAAGAATGACCTTTTCAAAAGAAATTGGCGAGCGAAGGACAGACGAATCCTTTACCTTGCGAGCAGATTTGTCACACCATAGCCATGAGTTCAAGGAACAGAAAAGTATTTTAGAGAAAGCCGACTTCAATATGGTTTCGTAATTTGCCTTTGACTGCATGCACCTAGTAGATTTACGTGTAGTTAAAAAATTGTTAAAATTAATTATTAAGAACGGCAATAGTTCGAAAATGAACGAAAAAATCGAGAAATCTGGGTGAACTTAAAAATTGGAAAGCAACAGAATTCCGTCAATTTTTATTATATACAGGCATATTTGTTTTGGAAGATTGTGTTGATGATGACGTATATTACCATTTTCTATTGTTACATGCGGCAAATAGGGTTCTTTGCATGCATAGTAGAAGCTGATATTGCTCAAAAAATGCTTCAAGACTTTGTATTTTATTTTGGCACATTGTATGGCATTCATGGATTACTCCAGTTAGCAGATTGTGTGAAACAGTACTGCCCCCTTGACAATTTTTCAGCTTATAAATATGAAAATCATATGCAATTTCTAAAAAAAAATTTAATAATAAACCGAACAAAATTCTCCAACAACTGTATTTGAGACTTGGGGAAAGGAAAGGGCAAGAACTACATGACGAGATTTCAAAAAAATCTAATTCTTTTCAAATAGATGTTAAAAAAGAAAGAAATTCCTTCTGATTTTGTAATGAATTACGACCGGTAAAAATTGTTAAACCATACTCTGGATTAGGTATTGTCTTAGCAAGCCAGTTAAGCGATGAAGTAATTGAAGTAAAAAAAAGAATCGCTTGAACATAAATACTTTTGCATTCCACGTCAAGGGCATTTCATACTTGTTCCGCTTCTGCATCAACTTTTGCACGAGTTTTCGAACTAATATGTTTTAATTTGAAAAAAAATATATATATATTGAAATTTTTTTTTTCCAAGCAAATGCGTTAATACATTTCCATATATAATATCTACAATCAACCCAGTAATGGCATCGACGTCAGTAAAAGGTGAGAAAAAAAAATTTATTTAAAGCATTGTATATTTAGGAGCATATGTATATTTAATAAGTTTTTCGCTTCCAGGTTCGAAAATCATTTAGCAGAAGTACGATCGTGAACATGCTAAGGACGAGGTGCCAAAAAAAACAGCCCTCAATCAAAAATTAAAAGACCGACGACACACCAACCGAGATCGTTCCAACCGACGACGCATCAGTGAGATTTACAGTCGATTCCGAGTATTTCGAAAATGTATTGAGGCTACTGAAAGAAGTAAAACCAGCTGGAGCAAAGATTAAACAGTGAAGTACGTTTTTTTTAACTTTTTCATATAACTCTATATTTATTATTTATTATAACAGTAAATGTCTATTTAATTTAATATCTAGATGGTGACAAAAGCAGAGTTTGCTGCCCATAACAAAATGTTATGCGAAATGAAAGTAGCAACAAAAAAAAAATTAGGTATGTGTTTGCAAGATGACAGGCGAAGGTACCCAGCAGAAAAAATTATCAATTGATAAAAAATAACCCACTTGTAGTTAGCTTTTTTGCGGGATTTCTATAAAATAAATAACCCGTAGTTAGCTTCAAAAAAGCTAACTTGAATCTAGTTGACAAGTAATGCAGGAGTAGTGAAGGAGATTGTTTTCTTTAAACGCATTTCTATTTAAATATCCTGCACTTCGCAAATACTTTTTCGAATTGAGGACAAATAAAAAGAAGATCGGAATTTCATATTATCATTTTGAAGTTATGTATGACGGAGTTGGATTATGGGACCACCTACACGAACAAACATGAAATGTAATAAAATAAACAAAGTAAATAAAAATAAAAATATACATAAAAAATATATAAAAAAAATATTTTGGTTTTCCTATTGATATTTTATATCCAAAAGTAGTTAGTTACAAGTTAGTTACATCAAATGCAGAGGTAAACCACCCTTGACTACATCTAATGCAGAGGTAACCACCCTTCACTATTTCGCGGCCATCGCCATAGAAATATAGTTAGCTTTCATCAAAGACTATATACAGATAATAAGTGACTTTTAGCTCCTTTCTAATCAACTTAAAGTTAGCTTATAGTTAGATCCATTTCCTGCATGGTAGCGACCCAATAATGGACGAAATAGCAAGTATGATGCCTATGACAACGGTGGCCGATGGATACTTCTGCGTTTGCCTTTTATTGTTTCAAATCCACCGAATTAATCGAATTTCATTGTTGTTGGCCAATGAGCTCATATGTTATCTCGTAGCAGACTGCTTTAAAAAAGCTTCCCCCTTTTTGGTTCAGATTCCGTAAGGGTTGGGTATGAAGCTTTTCAAAAAATCGTATTCGTCTTCCTTTCGATCGATGCATTCAGTCTAGCGTTTTTTCCAATTTGTTTATTCTTTCCAAACAGGAAACAGGAAAGAAGGGCTTAATAGGAGAATATGCCGGATGGTGATAGTACGTATCCCAATCAGTGTTAATAAATGCTTTCTTCAATTTCGTATGAAAATGTAATTCATATTGTACTTTTTATCACTCAATTGTACCAAATTTTGATGCCTGTTATTTTTCTAATATTAAGTTATTGTGTCAAACTTGTATTTAATTACTGTTCCTTCTTCTTCTTCTTATTTGGCGCTGTAACCGCCTAAGCGATTTTGGCCGAGTCCAAAACAGCACGCCAGTCATTTCTCTTCTGTGCTAACTGACGCCAATTGAAAATGCCAAGTGAAGCCAAGTCCTTCTCCACCTGGTCTTTCCAACGCAGAGGAGGCCTTCCTCTTCCTCTGTTACCAGCATCGCGGCCCGCGTTGAATATTTTCAGAGCAGGAGCGTTTCTGTCCATCCGAACGACATGGCCAAGCCAGCGGAGCCGCTGAATTTTAATTCGCTGCACTATGTCTATATCGTTGTAAAGCTCATACAGCTCATCGTTA